AAATACCTACCTTTTAACCCAGCCATTTCAATTTCAGTCACACAAGAGAAATGAGTGTTTTTAAAGTATACATGATAAACAAAGTAATGACATCCTTAATTATAGTGGGCTAAAGCTGGAAATCAATCTAAATATCCATTAATAAGAGAATAAGTATCTCGTGTATACACACAATGAGTAGTATTCAGCCATGAAGAGGAATGAAAATTCTGTACTGCTGTATGGATAGATTTCAGTAATGCTGTGGGCTTCCATGGGTATGAAGTGCAAGACTGTAAGTTTTCATGAAGATTTGATGACAGTTTGATTTCACATATTAGCATACACGGGGAAATTTCTTCCCCTGTCAGGAAAGGACTTATGTAAACACAAGTTGGAGACAAGTAGAAAAAAAAAATAGACAAATACCAGCAGTTCAGATTGGCTCATGAGAAATATGCAGTTAGCATACCTTGTTTCTATAGAGATTGACGGGGTGAATTGTGTGGTTTTGTTTTTGAATTATAATTGTATGTGTGTGTGTGTGTGTGTGTGTGTGTGTGTGTGTGTGTGTGTGTGAGAGAGAGAGAGAGAGAGAGACAGAGACAGAGACAGAGACAGAGAGACAGAGAGAGACAGACAGAGAGAGAGAGACAGAGACAGAGACAGAGAGAGAGAGTTAGTTTTCTTTTTTTTTTTTCTTTTTCTTTTTTTTTTTTTTTTTGGTTTTTCGAGACAGGGTTTCTCTGTGTAGCTTTGCGCCTCTCCTGGAACTCTCTTTGGAGACCAGACTGGCCTCGAACTCACAGAGATCCACCTGGCTCTGCCTCCCGAGTGCTGGGATTAAAGGCGTGCGCCACCACCGCCCGGCTGAGAGTTAGTTTTTAGATTGAGCCCAGGGCCTTGTGCATGTTAACTGTATGATCTATCACTGAACTAACTAACTAACCCCAACCCAAATTCCAGTTCTCAAGAGGATTTTAGGGTAATTATTGCTAAATGCCACTTATAAAAGGCAGAAAGCCGCTGTAGAGTTGGTCTGTCGTCACAAAACAAACTGAACACTCTTAGAGTTGTGTTTTATTCACTTCTACAGAATACAATTTCTGAGTATGTTCCCGACAGTATGTGTGAGCACACAGATAACTTGTTAGCCTCTGCTCAGAGCCTCTTATAATAACATTTCCATGACGAATCTGAGAGTCTCTTCCTTTATCTTGTCAAGTTATCCTCTTCTGCAGTGGCAAAGCATGAAATTACAGGGGCAGCGAAGCTGCAGAAAGCAGATTTGTGACCACCATATTCAGGAGGGCAGGGTGGGGGCAAGCACAAAAGGCCAGCCAGGGGCTTCTCTGTGGCCGTGGAGAGTTCTTTATCTTGGTGGGGTGGCAGTGTTACATGAGTCTAGATATGATAGATGCATGCTAAAACACAAGTAAGAGGGTGAAATGGAGCAAAGTCAAAGTCTGTTCAAAAGACTGTAGCAATGTCAGCTTAGTTTTTGGTGCATGGTACCGTGGTTATATGAAATATAACCATTTGAGGAAGTTGAGTGAAACATTCAAAGATCTTTGTACTTTTTCACATTTTACTATACTCCTAAAGTTAGCAAAAATCACATTAAAATTTGTAATAGGCAGCAGTTACCAAGTCTCAGCTTGAGAGGGGGGCCAGGAATCAAAGTAGCGACCAGAGTGCAAGAGGCCTGTAATAAATTAACCCCTTCTAGTTTCTTAAAATGAACTCAAAATACCAGCGTCTGCCTCTGATTTGAACGTTGCTGGCTGAAATATGTTAATGAAGTGATGTCTTGCAGCAGGTACAGTGCAAAGGGAGCATTCAAGCTTTCACTGGCAGTTTGAGTATTGCGCATCTGCTAGATGTGCAGCTTGACAGTGCTTGATGCCTCCATCTGTTGTCTGTCCCTCTGTCTGTCTGTCTGTGTCCGGCTCCACCAGTGTATTTGTTGATGAACCTGCTTTACACATTTTGACAACAGAATTCTCTCTCTGTCGGCGTTCTTAACCTTTACAGTGTTAGTGTTTCTGTAACAAGCTGTAGAAAGAGAGAAAAGCAGTGGGAACCACGGCCCGCCTGTCCCCCACAGTGACAGTGTAACACTGTTGAAGGTGTTTAGATGTCATGCAATCTTCCTATCTCTGCATATTAAATACTTCTTAAATTAGTAATGCATCCCAGGTCAAGATTTCAAGGTCATCCTGGGCTATATGATGATTTTGAGGCCAGCCTGGGCTCCATGAGACCATAATTGAAACAAATGAACAAACAGGCATCTGTAGTATGGGTGGTGGTGGTGATGAAGTTTTGCTTGAATATGGTTTCTGAGATCTGGACTGCAAAGCCCTCTTTTCCTTTCAGTTCTGTGTTCGTATCGTTCCCAGCAAAGTCTAGGAAAGGCTAGGCCTGTTGTCCCACAACAGAGGCCAATAAGTCCAGAGACGATGCTGTGGCAGAAAGAACCTTATTATGATAAGCCAGCTCACAGGAAGAGGCGGGGACCATCTTGTCTGGCTGGGCCAACTGCCTGGAGGCTTATGTGAGGCTGGTTACTATGGGAGATGGGTGATCACAGCTCTACACACCTCCTCACACGTAGAGGCACATGGCCACATATATCTGATTCTAATGGCCCAGTGAAGGGAGCTTTTCAGTTCTCCAGGTGTCGAGAGCTGAGGTCATTGTTGTTCCTCTCGGTTCCTGCCTCGCTGAGTAGTCCTGACACATTACACATGTACACAATAGACTGGGAAGACACATTGCACATGTACAGAATAACACATTGCACATGCACACACAATAACACATTACACATGCACACAGTAACACATTGCACATGTACACAATAACACATTGCACATGTACACAAAACACATTACACATGTACACAGTAGCACATTGCACATGTGGGAAGACACATTGCACACACATACACAATAACACATTACACATTACACTTGCATGCAATAACACATTGCACGTGTACACAATAACACATTGCACATGTACACAATAGCACATTGCACATGCACACAATAACACATTGCACATGTACACAATAACACATTACACATGCACACAATAACACATTACACATGCACATAACACATTACACATGCACACAATAGCACATTACACATGCACACAATAACACATTACACATGCACACAATAACACATTACACATGCACATAATAACACATTACGCATGCACACAATAACACATTGCACATGTACACAATAACACATTACACATGTACATAACACATTGCACATGTACACAAAAACACATTACACATGCACACAATAACATATTACACATGCACATAATAACACAATGCACATGCACACAATAACACATTGCACATGTACACAAAATAACACATTACAAATGTACATAATAACACATTGCACATGTACACAAAAACACATTACACATGCACACAATAACACATTACACATGTACACAATAACACATTGCACATGCACACAATAATACATTACACATGTACACAATAACACATTACACAAGTATTTGTTGTGGCAGAGGAAACAGTTTTCTTTCAAGGAATTACTTTCATCTGCTGCCACTGGCTGATTGAGATTCCTTTACGGTTTTCCTGTGTAGTCCTTTCGAAGTTGCAAACAGCCCCGTGGAGAGATGTCTAGGGCCTTTCAGATATGGAGGGTGAATTTTGAGCATATGGGGAAAAGCACAGTTGTAATTATCTTTAGTGGCCAAGCTTTCTTTCCAGCCCTGGTTTATGTTGAATTAAGAAAATATTTGGGGGACTGGCAGGATGACTCAGTAGGGAAGGGTGCTTGTTGCCAAGCCTGACTACTGAGGTTTGACCCCCACAACCTACATGGCTCAATGAGAGAAAATGGACACCTGCAAGTTGTCCTCTGACCTCCACACAGGTGCTGTGGTGTACACATACCTCTTCCAAATAAATTTTATTTGTTAAAAAGAAAGTATTTCGGTGTCAGAGTGAAAATCTGGTTCACAAGCGCTAGAGAAATACCAACTGTCCCATTTTGAAAGGACGGGAGTTCCAGTTTACGTGCCATAACCCCAGAGAGCACGTCCTTCCATTAGTTGTACCTGTGTGTGTTTGTAAACCATCGAACAGCTCACAGCGGTCCATCCCTCCTCCATCTGTAGTTTTCTAGAAACTTCATAAAATTGTCTTTCTGTGTGACAAACTAGGCTTTAAGGAGATTGATCATGAACTTGAATGAGAAAACTTGGACACTTCAAAATGTTGGATGCGTGGACCCTTTACAAACTATATGTAGCCGGGCGGTGGTGGCCACGCCTTTAATCCCAGCACTGGGGAGGCAGAGGCAGGCGGATCTCTGTGAGTTCGAGGCCAGCCCGAAGCCAGCCTGGTCTACAGAGTGAGTTCCAGGAAAGGCGCAAAGCTACACAGAGAAACCCTGTCTTGAAAAACAAAACAAAAAAACGAACAATCTATATGCATCACAGAGATTTCTGTGTCTCCTTGACTCTGACTTTCGGATTTGTAAAAAGTACTGTTTAAAAATGTGTTTGAATTTCTGAAACTTAATACGAAGGAAACCTGTCTTATATTAATCTAACTAAAGAATACCTTGTTTAGCTCTGTGGGTATTTTAAACTCAGATTAATTTTTATAACTGACAAAAAGGTTCTATTTACATTTTATATCACAGGTATTTGTGTAATAGCTAAATTTATATATATCAATTCTCTGCTAAAAATCAAGGTATAAGATGCATATTTTAAAATAGAAGATGATTTCTAAAGACTGGGTCTGGTGAATTTTAAACATAAATTATTGACAAAGTAACACAGCATTTTGACACAGTAGGAAAGAGCTGGGGTTCTTGTGTAACAGCTTAAATATTCTTAATTTGCACTGTCTTGGGCTCCCAAGGCTAATCTTGTGTTTTTGATGCATCGTTCCTTTGATTCCATACTGACAGGAGTTCTTGCTCTCTCTCCCTCTCTCTCCCGGACAGACATAAGCTTACCGAAGTCGGCAGCCATATGCTACACAGCCGCCCTACTCAAAGCAAGAGCCGTGTCTGACAAGTAAGTGAGCCGTCGGGGCGCTCGCGTCTCCCCACGCTCACCACATGCAAGGAGACCGGTTGCCTCCTCCGGAAGCTTCTCTTGGTCCTTGTGACCCTGCTTAAAAGCATGCATTTCCCCAAGGCAGCTGATCTTCTGTCTTACTACTAGGAAGAGGAGGTGTCTGTCCCCACTTCTTGGAAGGGTGTGTGGTCCCTCACACAGATGATTGACATTAAATTACATTCCTCTGGGGTGAATTTTTTCTTACTTTTTATTTATTTATTTATTTATTTTTGTCAGACGGTAGAGCCAAAGGACTGCTTGGGATTTGCACAGAAAATTCTGTCCTCTACTCGTTTTGTGTGTTCCCTTCCCTTCCGCTGTCTGTTCCTGGGCCCCAGTGTGGCAGTGGGGACGGGCCTCTCCCACTCTTCCCCTCGCCCCTCCCGCTCTGCTTACTTTTGAGATGGCCCTCAGTGGGACATTTGCCCGTTTTATTCAGGCAGGTGACTATGGCATATAGACATTCCACAAGTACCCAAAGGATAACCGGTCAGGTGAACGAGAACAGATGGATTGTTTTTGAGTCCATGAACGCTTCCACTTCCCTGATATAGTCCAGCCCCTCTGTAGCCTCTACCGCAGAGAGCAGGTAACGGCCTCTGCGCTGTCAGACAGGTTTGCTGTTAAGTGTGTGTGCACTTCAAAACTGGAGTAATTTTCTTTCATTCTTTTTTATCCTGTAGATCGCCAGTACCTACTGCAACATCTTTTCTCCCTACACAGCGAGCGACTCCAGCTTGGGAGGGCAGGGCCAGGGTTGTCACAGCTTGCCCTGTGGTGTCTGCCTGCCAAGCACAGCTCTGGAGTTAGCCCTGGGTGTGAGGTGAGAAAGAGATTGCATGGTCTGGTTTTTTTTTTTTTCCATTCCCTTGGGTGGGTGTCTTGCCCACAGTTTGGGCATGCACACCCTCCTGCTGGAACAGCCCACGCTGGCTCGCCTGTTGCTGAAGCTGTGGCCATTAGCCTCCACCACAGTACTGCCGTTGGGTGGGAGCTTCCCTTGAAATTCTCCCCAGTTCTGTTTTTAACCAAGTGAGCTCTTCTGTAACCTAGTTTTCTCTTTTTCCTACACTGTCTGCCCTTGCCAGTCCTACCTCTGCTCCCACCTAGGCAGGTACCTTGCAGGAAATGTAGATTAGCTATTTAGACAGTGAGCTGACAGCTGAACATAACTCCCGCCTCCACCATTCCATGGAAGCACGCTCTCTGCTTCTGCTGGGGTTTTTGTTAGCCTTGGTGGAAGGGGTCACTCAGAGGTCCCCTGTGGAGGAAGTTTGGAGAGCTTGTGCCATTGGCTCACTCTGCTCATAGGGGCCCTTGATGTATACTTGCTCCCTGGGTAGCTGCCCAAGCAGTGGTCTCAACTGCATGATGTTTGTCTTTCTGCTTTTCAGATTCTCTCCAGAGGCTGCATCTCGGCGGGGACTGAGCACAGCGGAGATGAATGCAGTAGAGGCCATTCACAGAGCTGTGGAATTTAATCCGCACGTGCCAAAAGTGAGTCTTTGCATCCCCTGGGAGCTCATTATGATAGTAGAGAAAGCATTTGCTAGCCACAATGCCCTGTCCCCAGGATCCCCAGTTATAAAACAATGAATTGCAACCAACAAATGTTGGGACCTGTGCAGTCTATAGGCATTTATAGCCTCATTTTTGAGCAAAAACTATGCTCAAGGGAACTTGGGGGAAGGGGCTGGTTTTCAGGGTAAACATAATAAAATAAACTGATAAACCTTGTTTAGGCAACTAGGTTCAGAAGGTTTAAAATTAGCTGATGTGAAGATCCTGAGAGGTTGATAGGAATTTTACACCAGTTTTAGTCTTGTTTGAGGCAAATTCTGGAAATAAACCTTATGCACAGCACTCTTTAAAAACAACTAATATGACATTTCATGTTTCTACAGATAAATGTAGGTAATCAGTACTGGCTAGAAAAAAATAGGAGAAACCACAGAGTATGCAATGTTTTGATTTGTGAGTGCCACTTGAATACTTAGACGTAGTGAAAGGATTTGTCTTCATGGTTAAACCCCATGATGCACAGTTGGTAAATGCTCGATATTTTTTCACATATTCTTTCTGAAGTTGATTTTAATGGAATCAAATCAAGGCAAAAGATATTTCTGGAATGTTTTATTCATGAGCTGAATATATGTTTGGGGCTTCCCTGAAATTATCTGCTCTGTGGTAGGTATTTAGCTGTGGGTCTATTTCAGTCTGTTGATATTCAGCACGTTTAGCCTCTAAGAAACTAATCCTGCAACTCACATCAGATGTTACATGGCATAAGTATTTGAGAAAGTATCTGATGAAGACCTCCTGGTGCAAATGATAAAGAAATCCTGCTTGCATTGTTGCAGTGCTAGAGCAAGAGGGTGGGGAGAGAGAAAGAGAGAGAGAGACAGAGACAGAGACAGAGACAGAGACAGAGGAGAGAGAGAGAGAGGAGGGGGGAGGACAGAGAGATGTATGGAGTTACCTACTTTATTTTGTTGATATTGAAAATGGTAGAGATAGTGATCTAATATCATTCCTGAGGTTTTACTTAAGTCTAAGTTATGATTTCACTTAATGGGAAATTGAAGAGTGGTCCAGAGTGGCGTTTTTGCATAAGGATGTATTTAACCACTCCAGTGCTAGTGGCTAATCAGCAAAATATTTACGGAGGCTTGGGGGTTAGATGTAGGATGCTAAAAGCATGAATCTTTACAATACTTTGAGCCTAAGCCAAAATGTGATTGAACTCTGATTAAAATGTAAAACTAGTAACAAAAGTTGTTCTCAATTATAGTAAACTGAAGTCATCTATTAATATTTATTGGATATTCACTCAAACTACAGAACTACTCTGTAAACGTAAGTAAGGCACTTTTGTAGGAATTTTTGAGCAACAGAGCCCAGGATTCTGAGGTAAAAACTTGGGTTCAAGTTCTGGCTGTCCTTTATGTACCACATAACCTTGGGATCAAGTGCCTCAGAGCTCATCTTCCAAATGATAAAAATATAAGCCTTGCCTGTCTTTGGGAATAAGGCTCCAATGAGATGAGATATTTGAAATTTTCATGAAACACCTGTCTTGGTCACTGTTCTATTGCTGTGAAGAGACACCATGGCCAGGGCACTGTGAAAGCACGCACGCGTTTAAGTGGGGGCTTGCTTGCAGTTTCAGAGGATGAGTCCATTACAAGGGCAGGGAGTATTGAGGCCTGCAGGAGCAGTAGCTGAGAGATACATCCTGATCCATAGGTAGAGAGAAGGTGGGGGAGGGAGGTAGAGCACTGGCTTCTTGGCCTGGCGTGGGCTTTGGAAACCTGAAAGCCCACGCCAGAGACAATGACACACTTCCTCTACAAGGCCACACCTATTCCAACAGAGCCCCACCTCCTAATCTTTTTAATCATATCAAAGAATTACACTCTCTGGTGACTAAACTTTCAAATATATCAAATATTTGAGGCCCTGGAAGTCTCAAAACACCACAACACACAACACTTGAATACCATTTATGTGTAAATGCTTAAAGCAATTGATATTAGCTTGTTAGGGGCCCCTCAAGCCTAGGAGACAATCCCAGTTTTTCCAGTCACCCTCTTAAGGGCCCTGTAATCATGAGTGGGGAGTCTGTATAGTTCTGCTGTTTAGATATTTTGATGGCATTGCCATTTAATTCTGTGATAATGGAAATCATTCAAGCTCTTAGGAATAGTTCAAAATTGCTGTGGAAAAGTTTGACGGTCCTTTGGCACGCCTGCCGATTATAATGATTCTAAAAGTGGAAATGGTTCAAATGTTGCTTTAATTGATACATGGTAATTGCATATATTTATGGGATAGAATGTGGCATTTCAATCCCTGTACACAATGCATAATGATCTCACTGGGGAAATTGTCCTATCTATCATTTCAGACACACAGCATTTCTTTGGGAGCATTTCAAATATTTGATCTCACTCCATTTTCTAATGATGAGAGCAGAGAAAAGAGTGTGTTATACTTTCAATCCCAACTTGGGCAGGATTTACTGATTTTGGTTCAAAGTTTCAGCCCATCGTGGTGGGGAGACACAGATTCCAGGAAGAAGAGAGCTAGCGAGGGAGGGGAGGAAGGAGACAGTGAGAGGGAAGAGTGGGATCTGAAAGGGAGTAAAGCTTTCTTCATCTGGGCTTCTAGCCTAGAATGGTGTTGCCACTTCCTCTGAAAATACTGTCAAAGACACTCAGAGCTTCTCCAGTTTCTAAGTGCTTCTCCAGCGAAGTCAGCTAACAAGATGAACCATTACCAATTCACCCCTGCTGACACCCAAACACATCTCTTAAATCACAGCAGTCACCTTTGGGTCCCCAGAGGCTCATATCCGTCTTTTTCTTTTAAATGGGTGTGTACTTGCTCACGTGTGTGAGTGCGTATGTGTGTGTGAGTGCGTGTTTGTGTGGGAGCTAAAGGACTATCTCAATTGTTCCTTGGGTGCCATCACCTGTTGGTTGTTGCTGTTTGGTTTTTGTTTTTGAGACAAGGTCTCAGTGGCCTGGGGCTTATCAAGTAGTCTAAGCTGGCTGGCCAGTAAGCTCGAACGATCCACCGGTTTCCACTTCACTGGCATTGGGAATGGAAGTGCACATGGCCATACTCAGTACTTCATTGTTGTTTTTTGGTTTTTGCTGTTGTTTTTTGTTTTTTTGGCTTTTTTTTTGTAGGGGAATCAAATTTTGGTCCTCTTTCTTGCAGGGCAACTCTTTCCTAACTGAGCTCATACCCCAATTGTCATGTACTCCTTGTAGTACAGAATGCATTCAGCCTGTCTCAAAGACTCTTAATAGTCTAACAGTGTTAGACTAAAAGCCCGAGTTCAAGGCCTCTTCTGAGATGTGACACAAATGGTTAGCCTTGAAGTCCTTTAAAATCAAAAATCAATTCATAGACTCTCAGTACACAGTGGCACAGGGTAAGCTTTCCTATTTCAGAATGACAGAATAGGAAAACACAGAGGAGGGATTGGACCAGAGCAAGACGAAAACCCTGGTAAATATTTAATCTTGAAACTCCATCATTGGTATCTGAACCGCATGGTAGCATGGTATGAATTTCTAAGGGCTTTGGCAGACCGACCACTGCTACCTTTCTGGCTGTATCCCATGAGGCCTCTTTCTTGGACTGGCTCTGCTTCCTGCCTTTCCTTTCGGATGTTCCCAGTTCCTGGAGTCTGACTTCCAAGGGTCTTTGTTCCACCTTTGGCTTTATTGTCATAGCTTCACTTGTCACCCTCTCCAAGGCAACCAAAGAGAAACTTATCCTGCTGCATGTTATCTGGCCTTTCTTAGAAATTAGTATAGAAGATTCTATTGGTGAAATTATTAAGGTCACTCCACGTAAGGGAGGTTTATTAGTGGGGTAACTTACAAATGAAGGGATAGGTAGGTTGCAGGGTCTGGGAAAGGCGTGGTGCAGTACGGTGGTGTTCTCTGGAGAACTGTTTGGTCTACCTCCAGCATCCAGGGTCCAGGAACCAAGAGAGCTGGCACATCCGGATCTCGGGTCTTCAGGGTCCTCTCTTGGCCCCGCCTTGTAGGCGTGACAGTTATCGAAGCCTCAGTGGGGGTTGGAACTTCCAGATCAAAGCTGGAATGGCTACCCACTACAAGATTCTGTGATCCATAATTTTCACTTTCTGCGTATCTACAAAACTAGCCCTGTGTGTGTGATCCCCAAGTCTTCTCAGGAGAAGGTCCCTAGGGCACAGCTGCAGTAGCCTCTGAGGGCCTAGAAGAGTGAGCATGAGAAAACACTTCCGTTAATGGCTCTGTGTGGGGTGAGAGAACTGGAGTGTCTACTTCTCCAAGAGAAATCTTTGAGATTAGTTAAAACTTTTATACCTATGAACCTGGCATAAATGGTGTCTGGACACTTTCTAAGATGTCCTCAAAGCATCCTTCACACTGTCCTGATACTAAGTATTTAGTTTTTTTTTTTTTTCATCACAGTTCCATCACTGTAAACTTGGCTAAAATCGGCAAGCAGTAACTATGCTATCACCTGAATTATTGGCTGCCTTGACATTCCGACCACTAGATGATTAGCCTACCACCTTTAAACTCAGTCTGCCTGATTTAGAGTACTAAGACATGGATAAAAAGGTAGACAAATTATTTGTCACTCTCTAACACAAATGGCCTCTGGTCCAGTTCCTATTGAGTCTAGTCTTTCCTATCACATTCCTAAGCATTCTTTTCTTATAAACACCCACCAGAATTGCCTACTAATCTCTGCTTATAGCATCTAGACTTTATCCAGCCCAGTTCTTCATACGTTTCCAACTCCTTGCTCCCAAGCAGTTCCAAAGGCTTTTGAACCACATCATCAGATATCACAACAATGACCCCACTTTTCTGGTGTGGGTTTTCTGCGTTTAAGTTATTGCCCTCATGCAAAAGAGCCTGATGGAGCAGGTAAAAGGAGAGGTTGTTTTGACTAGTAGTTTTAGTCCGCCATGGGGAGGAGGA